CAAGCCTTAGACCGACGTTATGGTCGGCTACGGACAAGCGATGAAGCGATCGCGATCGCTCCATCGCTTGTCCGTCGCCGACTATGACGTCGGTCTAAGGCTTGGAGGAGCAGACGAAAAGAGCGCCGCGCCATCGCGTGCCACCCCCTCCCCCCGAACCCGAGTTTCGCCGAGTTTTCTGCCCAATTTGAGTTACCTTGCTTATGTTTATCTGTCAGAATGAGTTCTATCCAAATTCTCATAATTCGGACGGCTGGAGTCTTGCTTGCTGGAGAAATGCTTACTCTTTAAGATCTGGAGTGGGAATTGGTGTACGTAGGCTCGGCGAAGTCTAGCTCCTATGATCAGGTGCTCGATTCTGCACTTGTTGGTCCAGTTCCAGAAGGCAGGCACAAATTTGTTTTCGCAGTAAGTGAAAACTATATGTAGCTGCTCTCCATTTACAAGTGCTACTGCAATTTTTTAGGTGGACGCCCCTGATCCATCGAAAATTCCAGTTCAAGATCTCGTTGGTGTTACTGTTCTCCTGCTGCGTTGCAAGTACAATGGACAGGTGCGTTTCAACCTTATCATTTGCAAACACTTTTTCGTACTCTAGTGTATTGCAGGAATTCATTAACTTGGGATGGTTCGTCTCAAATGACTATGAGGATCCTGAGTTGAAAGAGAATCCTCCAGCGAAACCGCTGATCGAGAAGGTAAGTCGAAAGATTTGGTTCGAACTAGTGTGTTCATTTTTCATCTTTTCTTTGATGTGGTTGTTTGTTGGCACAATTTTTATGGTGGAGCGTATTTCAGTTAACAAGGACAGTTCAAATAGATGATCTGCGAGTTACATCATTCCCGATAAAGTGGGATGAGAATCAGCCCGATGAATATCCACCAGAGCCCGAACAGGGAGAAATTGATGAGGCGGATCTTATTCCAGTAGAGGATCCTGTTGATGATGAAGAAAAACTGGAAGATGAGGTTTGCATATCAAACTCAGTAGGCTACTCTAACTAATAAATACTTCAAAGAATTGTACTCTTGCAAATAGTGATACCTATTCTGTAAGATGATTCCTTCAGGAGGAAGCTGACGTTAATGGCGGAGAGGAGGTGGATCTGGAAGAGAGCATGGAAAACGACGAAGTGCAAGATGAAGAAAATGAAGAGGTGCAGAATGGCGATGTCGAAGATAACGAAGTGGACAAAAAGAACGGTGAAGATGATTCTGCCGATGTCCCTGGTTTGATCTATTGATTTTCTGCTACTTTGTCTTT